GCTCCCCTGGGTCTAGAGACTCCAGCTGCCTCTGTTCCTTGGCACCACCATCTGTCCTGTGAGCCTGTGCCGTCTGTCTTGCAGAAGTTCTCTGTACTGGTCCCCAGTTGTGCCAACCTCTTCTCTTCAAACCACCCCTGGGTCTCCAGCACAATTATGACGCATGGTGGGCACACTCTGAACCCTTGGTTCTTCATGGCTATCCCTACAGCCACCTCCCCATTGTGTCTTTTCTCCCATTCCCATCCCCCCATAGAAGCCCTCTCTCCCCAGTTCAGCAGATGCTTAATTGAATGCATGCCAGGTCCTGCCCTTGGCACTGGGGGTGCATTTCGCAAAGCCCTTATTCTCAATACAGACACACAGAAAGAGCACCCTGAGCGAGTGGGAGCAGCAAGGTCTTGGCAGGTGGGATCAGGCACCAGGGAAGCTCTTCCTGTGGCCATTCCATTTCCTCGCCTCCTCTCATTCTCCTAGGCCCAGGCCTCTGGGACAGGAACTTCTCCCTCTCTCCCCAGCTCCTGTTTTTCTTTTGTCCTTTCTCCCTCTTCCCTCAGCCACTCCCACCCTGGGCCTCTGCAGGGTCATCTCCCACAGCCCATTGCCCACCCCCAGCCAGCCCTTCCCCTATTCGGGTCCCTTTCTCTGGCTTGGTCCCTCTCAGAGACCAGGGAACTTGTTCTTTCGAGGGGTGGAGTGGAGTGGCCACCGCTTAGACCTCGGGCATGCCAGATCTACCAGGGTTCTGTAGTCACAGGGACCAGCAAGGGGACAATCCCAGGAGAGAAGAGAGGGCCCCAGGGAGGGCTGGAGCGGTGGAGAGGTGTGGAGAGCAAGGAAGAGGACCCAGGGCAGCAGTTGGCCAGGAGGGAAAGGAGAGGGAGCAGGCTTAGCCCGGCCTTCCAAGGTTCCTAGCTTTGCCCTCTGTCAGTGGCCTGGTCCCAGGCAGAATTAGGGTGATGGGGCAATCAGGCACGGGAGGGAACAGATGGGGCGATTGGAGGCTGCTCCTGTCACCCTCACTTCTCCCTGCTCAACAGAGCTGGGAACCTTCATCCCCAGCCCCTCATCAGCTCCTTCTCTGAGACTCCCCTATGGCCCTGGCACTAGGAGGGGTGGGTCGGTGGTCTGAGCCCCTGCTTATGCGTTGAGTGAGCGTCTAGGGCTGGGTGGGGGAGAGGAGGCGTGGGGTCTGTCTGTATTAAGTACCCAAGGGCGATAAGCTGGCTCCACGAAATTACAGCCCACAGCCTGAAACTCCAGGCAGAAGGGGCATCTCAGGACCGCTGGCCTCAGACTCCACATGTCACAATTCAGTTGTGGGCCCGCAGTGCGGCTCCCCCCAACGGTCTCCTGTCTA